TGAAACATTCATTCACCCGTCGACCGAATATGACTCTCACTTCGACAATTTGTCTGATGAATACATCCGATCGTGTCGTTTGTTTGAAACATAACATTGAACAGTATATAATTACAAATACAATTGCGTCGTTAAAAATTCTATAATCACAAAAACTTATTGCTGGAAAAAATGCAGATAAAAAATTATATCATAATTTTTTTGTACATAACTTCTTACTTCAAACCGAGAGAAATAGAAGGCGGAGTATACATAACGATGACGTATTTTAAGATAATGTCTTTGTAATTATGCACACTAATGACGAGTGAGAAATTTTCCCTTGAAAAGGCATGTAGAGAGGAAACAATTATTTAGTCGTTCAAATGACTTTTACGCAGTCAAGATTATCGCAAACAAGATGGCTACGCGATCTTGTCATTTTGTATGCACTTCCTCACACTCTTCGCGATAAAAATCGCTGTAAGCTTTAACGTGCGCATATGTAATATGGCATTATGAGGCAGATGCATGTAGCGTGTGATGGCGTCTGATTCACCGCGTATTATTTCATATCGAGACCAACAAAGTTGGGTGGAATAAATTTCCATTTAATTTTATAAGCTTGTTTAAAGAACTTCATAAATTGTATGGATACGGTTACATTATCATTTTTCATAGACATCAACTGTCTGAATGTATGACCGACATACTCGCGTAAACATATCGCTCGTTTTTACGCGTTGAATCTTTCGTTGCTTCATTAGGACCAGAAAAAGCAGGCAGTTTACGGTCGCGATAAGAAATGATAATTTACTCATCCGAGAGCATAAGCAGGAGGATGCGATCTTTCCGCCATTCAAGATATAAATTAAATCCTCCGTGCACCATCGTGAATAATGCAAACTGCGCATCTCGTATCGTCGCGCACTGCAGCGCCTGGAAAAACGATCGCGTCAACGTTATCGTCATTATTTCGTCGGCGATATCGCGATCGCCGTCTCTCGTTCCGCCGCGTGAGACGGGCTCTCGCGCACGTTGCGCTAATTGTACGGAGATATGACGAACGGTGCGATGCGCGCGTCATCCGCATAGTAGCTTCGTTAACGCGGGAAAAGAACTGTTTTACGACGCGCAATTATCGCGCTAATAATTTATCGCGACTTGAAGCATTCGCGGGGCGATGCCTCTCTGATACACGGTCGCACGCTCGAGAAATATGTAATGCGTGTGTACATTGTATAAAGGGCGGCACTATTTTTGCGTCTCGTAGCACAGCGCGCCCTTTCCCGTCCCGCGAGAGCTCACCCGCACCTCGTAGCCAGGTAATGCCCGGCCTGGAATAAAATTACAGCGCGTCGCGTTGTGTGCCGCGCTAGGACACTCGCCACAGATCATCCCCTCGGGGTTCTTCGTTAAGCGAGGAAATTTTAAGGTTGCCGCGTAAAGCTGTGACTAAAGCCGGCGACAAAAATCCCCGAGTTATGGGGCCGGGCGCAACCGTTTTAGCGTGCAAGCATGCAGATCGTTTCGGCTGCCGCGGAAGGATGGCTAGAGAGGTGCGAGGGCTATTCTCTCCCTCCTTCTCTTCTTCCCTCTCTTTCTCTTTTTATAACTATCCGGGTTTCGTCCTCCCTCCCGCGCCCTTACCTGTATCCTTTTTATCCGTTCTCGAGTCGCTTCTTTTCTTCCCCGCATGCAATTCCCATGCATATCTGCGCGCTTCTTTACGAGGGACATCTTTTTTCTCCTGTCGTCGTCGCCGTCTTTCGGGATATTCGGCGGGAATATGCTGGCGGGAGGCATACTTTACCCCCGCGTCCTTAATCGAAAACTGAGCGCCACTTTTGCATAGAATAAAGTAATCGCGTCTACGCGAAACCGGCAGCTCCTTTATCCCGATCGATTATTAAGATTGCGCGCTCGAAGATTGTAACATTTAATCTCGGGAAAAAAATCTTTGACATTAAACTTTCGACGCGTCTTGCGCATAATCAATGTTATTTATCGGCCGCCGATGCGTGCACAGCCGGGAACATTAATCTATCGCGTCGGCGGTAATTAAATTTATTCCGTTTCAATTATAATATCACTGGCGGACGGCGATGTGGACAGGCCACGGGTGTACGACGCGGTTAATTGCAGGTGTCACCCGGCTATGAATTACGGATCCTCGATTTTCCGTGTTTGTCCGACGGAGAGGGGGCCTTTTCCTTTTTTCAGCAGTCGTGCCATCGCGCGCTTTCGATATTTATGCAATGTCGCAGCGACGTAACGATCGAGCCTCACTCAGTGTTATGCACCGATGAACCCGAGAATGCAACTTCATCCGGATCGCCCGGCGGGCATTCCGGACCGGGCATTCCGAACCGGTTTCGGTTTACAATATAAGTTACGACAGTAGAAACGGACGGCCGATAAGCTGATAAACAAATCTCCCGCTACCGCTCGAGCGATTATTCTTCGCGCGGCGCGCTTCCACGATCGTTACGTCGGCGAACGGCTTTTTAATCGAGGCAATTTGTCGCGAGTCGCGCGCCATTTAATTAATAAAAACGTTGATTCGTTGAAAATTACTCGTTTCGAAAATATTACGGGGCATGCGAGTCCCCCTAAATGAACTCTATTGAAATTAACGATCTTATCAAGGTGTCGCTTATTAAAACGTTAAACCGCGCGCGGCGCGTTCCCGCCGGGAATTGATTAAAAACGATGTAAACGGCCGTGCCGCATACTTGCCATCTGGTAGCGTTCGTTAGGAAATACCTGGAAACACATCTACGCCGAGAGCTAATGCCGGTCGATCCGTCTTGCCCGCGGTGGTAATAAACCGTGGATAATGAATAACAATTAATCACACTAATTGTACACTTACATTCTTATATCCGTATGTCCTTATAAATTTTCATCTATCTATAAATCACGAGCAACATTACTCGAATCAGATAAACGGGGGAAAGAACTTATTTGTCCAAAGTTAGGATCACGATAAAGTGGATAAATATTTGCATACTTAAACAGCTAAATTTATATTTACGAATAAAGCTGATGAAACGGCAAATTTTGCATATTTAAACGAATGGGCGAATAGTGCGAAATAAGTGTGTCAACACAGAGGCCATCGTGTCCTTGGAATTTATTCGCACTCAGTGTAAGAAAATTAATTGTTGACAATATTTAACTCGTGGCATCGCATACAGGAAGCTTTCCTGTGGAAAGCATAAAATGTCGCAGCGCGTCGGACCTCCGGCGAGAGTTGATTTCGCTGTACGAACGCTCGATTCCAGACGGCTCGCTCGTAGCAGCCGGGCTGCACTTAAACATCGTGCACGTCTGGCGCAGCGAATACGATGCGAGTTTACGCCGGCTCATATACCGGCGACGCTGCCGCTGCACGTGTAACAGGAAACTTACCTTAACCCCGTCACCTTGCCACACTTATTTCAAGCCGCCGGCCGTTTCCATGGCGCACGGTCGGCGCGCGGCGATTTCAAGAGCGTAAGCGGATCGCGCGGGAGGAAGGGCGACGTGAGGAGAGAAGAAGCCGCGCGACAGAGCAAGCCGTGCGCGCCTAGAAATAGAAGCCGCCGCTGTCACTGTCAACGCCTAATGAACGATATATATAAGCCGAGGAAACCCTGCTAAGAATCCAAGATGGCTACCAGCGTCCCGAAGGATCGCGGGGGAATCCTGTGATTACATTCCTGGCTCACCCGCTCTCACCGCCGCCGCCCATACCGGCACGCTTCGAAAGCCTCCGTTACCATCGCCCGCTCCCGTCGCACTGCCGTCGGCAGTGCCTTATTTCAAGAGCCTTCCGGCGTGTCCTGGATAGTTTTAGAACATCTTCCTGACGTATGAAAGTCCTTGTCGTTTGAGCGGAAATTGTAACGCCCGTCGCCTCGGCAGCGGCGCCCCACGATTATCCCCCCGCGTTTCCTTAATACCGTGTTTCCTGCGGATAAACTAAAACCGGCTTGTCGCTCGTCGCATTTCTTCTTAATTCGCCGGTTAATCGGTCATCGTGATCGTCACGACGAATATTAGTATTTTACCACGTCGGATTACCAGCGTGCGGTGACAATTTTAGTTAATGCACGAGTAATCTGACGGAAGTGTTTCGAGTGCGCGGTAAAATCCGACATTTCTGGCAGAATTTTCACGTCAAATTTTCAAGAGCTTTTATGACAACGGCGATCACACAGCGCGGAACAGTTCGTCGATAAAAGGTCGGAGTATGCGCGACAATGAACGATCGAGGCGATTCATCGATCATAGCCGGCGTTCATGATCATTTGGACGTTTCCGTTCTGCGCGCCGACGTGCGGGATAATTTATCCGCTAGCACTTACTCGCCCACAACTCACCGACCGGCGATCGTCAATCGCTCTTAATTTCAGAACGATTCGTCGTGGCCGCTCTCGTGAAACCGATACATAGAGTATGATACATAGAGCGTATTTTATTTCTTTCTTTCTTTTCGCCTTACTATACTGCACGACCCGCTACATTCACGTCGCACAAAGCTAAGATATAGTAAAGGGTGTTATATAATCGTTTATCTTCAATGCTGAAAACGTGGATATCGATACCGCGCATTACGGCCGCTTTTACAAGTATCTCGATACTGCACGTGTGGATACATTCTGGCTATCTTTTGACACACAGTAAAGCATCCTGTACTTGCTGACACTTACGTACAATGTTATCCGCTAACATATTCTAGAGTAACAATTCTAGAGTTGACAATTTTTTTTACGTATGTTTATTTGCATTTCGCTGGACTTTAAATTGCACTATTGGTCTACATTTCGATATTGTCAATGCTATTATTAAGGAAAGCTTTCTTCGAAACAAAGTACGATGCAATAACACCACATATAATATAGTTGTTTTGCTATTCGCAATTATCTGGTCTTTCATAAATATATAAATTGCATTTTATTCAACAATTGAAAAATATTTTAGTGCCGCGCGCGTTTTCATAGCTTTATGTATACATAATCAATTACTGATTTCAGGTCATCGCCGAGGGTGCTGTAGTCGCTTTTATGGTGTGGAAAAATGAAACGCACGTGAGTAATCGCTTTTAATACCCAGTGTTGTCTTTTTTAATTAAACCTCGTTATGATCAATTTGCTGTACAATGCCACGTGCGAGCCATCGAATAGCCGTCCTCGCGATAGCGGATAGTAGACTCACGGTTGGTCGAGCGGGCACGAGAGCAAAGCACAGTGGTTTTTAATCGAGAATATCGATCTACAGCATAAAATTCTACTCGCATCGACGCGATTGTTACGCGCCGGCGGCGCTATTCCCGAAAATGCGTGTTTGACATGCACCTCTTTTCGAAATATCGTGGAAATATTGTTATTCCTGTTGTATTTTGTTGACTCGCAGTTGCGATTACATGTTGCGATTCAAAGAACTCTCTCGCGCGCTTTTATTACGTGATCCTTTTAGCTGCATTTTATAATAAGCCCGCGTGACAAACGTGTCAGCGGCAAAATGCAATATGAAAAAGAAAAAAAAAGCATTCCCGCTTGCACGTCGTAAGATTTACGCAATGCTAATTATGCACACGCGGCAGGAGAACGCACAAAGGGAAGTAATAGCACTGTCGATCACGCTAATGACCGGAGCAGAGGCAAAGATGGGTGTTGGATGGACGGCAATAACAATCGCGTATGCATATACCACCGGCCGGCCTATCGTAGCGGTCGGCGCGATAAGAGGGCGACGTTAAGTTACAGCGATGAAAATAACGTTGCCGTAAAGTTCCTGGCGCCGTACGTTCTCCTGATACGGTGGGCGTAATCTAAGGAACGTGTTAACTGCGCGGTAGCGTCGCTGTAACGTATTAATATTAACGCTGACGCCGGATACGCGCGCGGTGGCTTATCGATAAATAGAGGCATTCTCAGATTTGAGCACGGCGGAAATTCAACGCGATAGAGATAACGTGTAATCGCGATAAAATACAGGAGAGCAGAATCGATGAATTTCATCGCGGCCCCCTTCAGCGATTACGTCGCGCTTCATTACTTATTCAGGAGGCAAATGATTCCGTGGTCCCGGGATTAAGTCCCCGGGACTCGAGCATCAAAATTTGGGTCACGATAATTTATACATCGAGTCGTAAACACAAAACGCGGTAAATCCCCCCGGTGTCAGCGGCCGCGCGTATCCTACAAGTGTAATGAAAGCGCGTTAGGCAGCATCGAAATTTAACGAATCCCGACGTTGGAATTATCGCGACGCAACATGCGAATTCGAAATGTAATTAAAATAAATCTTCTCGCAAATTGCTTCACGCGCGCGTGTACGAAATTTCAGTTGAGATTTCTGCGCAGATCCGCGCGATGTAACTGCACATCGTTGCCTTCGCAACGTCGTTTTTGCCCCGTTCAGATTAAATTCGACTTTACGAGCGAGCTTGCGAGGCAAAGTGGTGGCCGGGAAGTTCATCATCATCAAGTCGCAAAGAGCGCTGCGTGACTCGGCGAGGTCCGAACGTACGTAAAGCGAATTTATACCTTTTACGGCTACCGCTCGTTAGCCGCGCAATTCAATGACCTTTGCACTTTATGTCGCAAAAGTTTCGGTGTATTCCATGAACGATTCCCAGAACAACCGCAAAAGATAAATATTATAGTTAATATTAATATTTCAGGAAAGAGCCAGGTCGGTGGGTTTTATTTTTTTATCGGTCTTTTTTTTCCATCTTGAGGCAAGTGTGAAAACAAGCAATGAACAAGTAGTCGATAATTGTATTTTTAGGGCGTAAATTCGCGTGCAGACGCTCTCTCTCTCTTCGGCTCATGTTGTTTCACTATTTTCGAGAGAGAAGCAGAGATGATTACAACCTGCCGAATCGATGTGTCTCGCTCGCGTCGAACGCTACACCATACCGCGTCCGACGAAAAGGAAGCATGAGGTTTTATATATTTTTTTTCCTCTCTTCTATTTCCTTTCCTCCGTTCGACGAACAAGCTGCCGGTATCGTTCTATGACGTTCAGCACGCCCCTTTTCTGCTGTCGACCTCGATGGCTCTGCTAGTAGCCGCGGTTCACGGTAATTATTCCCCCTTGCACTTTAAATACAGTAATCCCTGAGTTTCTTCGCCGTGTTGTTTATGGTAATCCCCGTTGCCGCTATAAATATTCCTGCAAATACAAAAATTGCAACCCTTGCACCGGGGCGCGGGCGATAGCCGCCGCTCACGCTAGAGGAAATCACCCGCGGACGTTGAATGAGAGCGATATTAGGGAAGAAACGCGGTTACGACAGTCGCGCGAATTGCACACGCTGCGCGGAAACGCTCGTTGAAATATTCAGAAATCCGTCTGGTCGGCTAACAGGAATTTTGCATATCTAATGGCGGATCACTTTGCAGCCCGTACGGGCATAGTGACGCGATACAACGTAATTACGCCTAAGTAAGTTCCGTGCGTAGTGCACTTCGCTATTAAGTGAATATATTATCGTTCCAGACGATGACGGCGTGGAAAGTACGCGAACGTATTAAAAGCGGCCGTTAAGAGGACTCTCTCGAACAAGATCGATGATACCAATCTAAAATATCGCACACGCGGTTGAGTGAAAAAAATTTCCGAATTTCTTCGTCGCTAAATCGACCGGTCAGAATCGTACGAGACACCGCGGATGATGATTTACGGTCGGAACCGCGACGCCGATACTTCTCCGCGCGGGAACAAGATAAATAACAAATTCCACCTTCGCTCCGCTCCGCCGCCACCACCCCCGCGGCTGTCATTATCCGCTTTCCCATTTAGCCGCGGCGGATTCAAACTCACGATTCCAATTCGCTGGGAGACATCGGTAAATACGTTCGTGCTCGCACGATATTTGCGATAGACAGTCCCTAACGAACAACCGAGCGCGAGAAGACAAACGAGTTATCCAGCCGATTATTGTCTCCACCCACGTCGGCCTCGGGGCTCGATTCTCTCGTCCTTTCTCGTTCTCTCCCGGGCGCTATCGATCGGCGATGTTAATATTAGATGAGCGAGGCACCTGCCGCCCTCGTTCTCTAGCCATTGTCACATACCCTGAAAGTTTAATCGGCTTCTTCGCCCGGCTACCTCGCGCTGACCTTTTTGTCTTGGAAGCAGCTGCCGTCGCGCTACGGAGATGCTATGGAAAAAAATATACCACGGCGCCGCTGATTATTTTATGCGAGCGGAAATTAGGGAGGCGCCATGCTGCTCGATATAACTTGTCGCTTGGTAGTTCAGGTGTTTCTTGTTAACCTAGATGAGTTTTACACCGCGTTTATTAGCAGTCGCACTAACGATTATCTTTGCTCGCAGTTCAACTGTTCAACTGATCGCTATCTTTCGAAAGAAGTAAACGATCAGTGAAACTACGTTTGATATTAATCAACGCCAATGCGACCAATGAAACTGGTCGTTAGTGTTGCGTGTATTTGTAATTAATAATTTTATAATTGTGATATTTGTAAGTGATATGTAACTATTATTGGTCTCGTGGATAAGACGGAAGATAAACTTACGATGAGGCGGAATTCATTTTAGTAATGGAAATATTAATTTTGAAAAGTCTCGCTACAAAGTTTGCCGCAAGGTAAGTGAGGAATGCACGCGATTCCGAGCAAATTTCAACCATTTTTTTCATCCGATTACATCGAAGTCCTCGCGAGTCCTACGCAACAAGTTTAAGAAGAATGCGGGAGATAATAACCGATCGTTAAGATAAGTTTCGCTCCAATTACCCAGCAGTCGACAATCACGTTGCTCGCGACTAAGTAATCACGCGTATTACCAAGTAATTACCGGCATGGCGTCATTAATTTATCGATACTGCTACGTTTAAAGTAGTTTCTTGCATAATGAGATAATGCCAGGACGTAGTTTATCTCGATCGGAGAAGACGCTGCAACTGCGATTATCTTAGACGCTCATCTGCATGTCCTTAACGTATAATAAGTTGTTATTCGATTTCGCCGGGGAAGCCTCATGTATAAAGAGCGACATCGACTTTCGTAAAATACCAATGGCATTACATATTTAAATTGTCATTTCTCGCGTATTTGTCTATGTTTATTACGTTACATTGTGTTCAAGATTTATTTCAATAAGCGGTGACGTGACGTACAAAACTTAGCAAACAATAATTCACATTTTACAGCAAAGATTTTTTTGAAAACAGAATACGTCTCGTCTCTTGTAGGCACTAATTAAAGCTTAATATAAATAACTTAATTAACACAGCAGGACGCGCACAGCCTCTCCTTTCTGCGGAAATTTTCGGCGCAGATGCATCGTTCGAGGAAAGTGAACGTCTGCACGTCTGCCCCATTCTTTCACTTAATTGCGCCGTGTTCATGCAACATGCTTGCGTATAATATTTCATACAAATGTTGTATATGCGTTCTCGCGCTATCTTACAATCGTCATTAATAATTGATTATGAGCAACATATATACTCCGCGCAACGGAGCGCTGCTTTGCGTAACGAGGCGCGGTGGCGCTTCCTTGAATTTCGACGTGCATAATTGGGGAGTGAAATGCGCGCGCGCGCGCGCACGTACGTCGCATTTTTCCGTTTAATTGCCCGGCGCGTACGCATTGCGATGTCGGGAGGGATGGCTGAACACATCTCGAGATACGGCGGTACCCCCGGTCTCTCTCCGCGCTGGCGAGAATGTAATTATGAAGCGGAGAGAGATCCACGGGACGAGATAGGGCCCCGCGAGCGTGATGGATGTTTTCAGCGTCTGCTCCGCGTCTGCTCCGCATTACTGACTTACGAGCTCGCGAGTATAGACACGCCGTGTCCCTCTCTTTCTTCGCGTTGCCTCTCTAAGCGCTGCCGATGTATGCGTCGACCTGCGACGACCATTCTATGTAAATCGCGTCGTAAAAGACCCGACACCACGGAAGGCGGCGCACCTCCGCGGGAATCACCGCCGTGGCCTTTCGGCTCGTCCCCCTGCAGCGGATCCATGTCCGTCGATGACATTAAAATGGCTACTCGCACTGTTGTCTTGAATGTCGCGAGCTAAATACGCCGGGAGGACCTACGTCGCGC